CTGATGGGAAACTATGCTCAAAGTGGCTTGAGTTATTGACGAGTGAGTTAAATTATTTTACTGCTCCTTGTAATTGGTGTTAGCAATTTTGGATCCGGGTTGAATGTTGGGCTGTTTGCATTTTGCTCGGACTGGTACAGGGGCGGTTCTGGTGGAATGGGTAGGGGTAATTTATTGGAGAATAATAAGAATTATCATAAAATTAAAAGAATCGATCTGTTTGAAAAATTGTATCGGAGATAATCAACTTAAAGTTCGTGTAAATGAAATGTAGAGACCATAGAAAAGTCTAAAGTTCCTCGATTGATAAAGTACATTGAGGGGAAAGATAATTCAAACTTTTAATCCAATTGAAATTCCTTTATTAAATACATTAATTTTTATAATAGCAATTTTCTTATTAGTGATAAAATATCATAAACATTATTTTTTAACACGATTTTACTACCATAAGTCGACAAGTGAGAGAATAGATACATTATTTTTGAGCATTTAAAATAAATTTGAACTATATTAAGATATTCTTCTTTTAACAATATATCCACGTATCAAATTATTTTTTACATCTTAAAAAATATGTTGAAGAATCAATCTTGGTAATAGGAATCTAGGGACTTCAGGAAAATTTGGACTCGGCTAAAATAATGGAGTCCACCTAACGTTTCCGGTTATACCGGAAATTGACGTAATCTTCGTTATTTTAAATGGAACACCCTGTATATTATTGCAATTTTGGATTCTACGTCAATTTTTAGGTGAACTTTCATAAAGGTTTCCTATTCTTAAAGTTAACTGTTTTTGATATATTTAAATAAAATATATTTTTAAAAAAGCACTGCCTATTTCAAGAAGATGTGTATTTTATAATAATATAGTTAGAGCGACAAAATTTATAAGGGACATAACTAAAACCCTAAACTTCTCTGCCATAATTTCAAAATGACTTAATTTCATACAGGGTGGTAAAAATTTAATGCCGAATTTAGTCAACCATCTTAACTTATTTTTTTTAATAGAACAATCTGTATATTTTTGCGCAACCTGACGAACAATTTTGTTCTCTGTCGAATGGTATAATGGTTCTCTATACCTATCTCTTCTGGTTTTTAAGGTATTTACTGTTTTTTGTGCTGTCAAGGGATGTCGCATAATTTCTTGCGAGGATGGCTGTGAAATTTTTAATGGAACTTCAAAACAAGCACCTAATCTGTCACCAGTTTATTGTTGTCAATTTAACACATACAGTGAATGTTTATTTGAGTATTATTTATTGTTAAATATTAGAAAACGTTAATATTTATTCGAATGCTGACATTCTAAAAGTATTATTTATTCATGGAAAGTGTCACAATATAATAAATAGGACTTGCAGGGTATGAGAGATGCACTCATTGACTACCAATCAGTAGGTATAAATTAAAAATAATTTTAGTTAGACAACAGATTTGAATAAATGTTAACGTTTTCCATCCTTTAACAATAAATAAGACTCAAATAAACATTCACTGTATGTGTTAAATTGACAACAATAAACTGGTGACAGATTAGGTGCTTCTTGTTTTGAAGATCCACCAACTAAATTATGGCAGATAAGCTTGCTTAGAGTTTTAGTTATGTCCCCTATAAATTTTATCTCTCTAACTTTATTATTGTAAAATACACATCTTTTTTATTATTTTTTTTTGAAAAAAATTAAATATATCAAAAACAGTTAACTTTAAGAATAGGAAACCTTTATGAAAGTTCACCTAAAAATTGACGTAGAATCCAAAATTGCAATAATATACAGGGTGTTCCATTTAAAATAACGAAGATGACGTCAACTTTGCTTTGGAAATTCAAACATATTTTAACGTTGGTAATAGAGGTTTTGCCAAAAATTGCAGTTGACTGCAACACTTAATACTTCGTCAATATTTAGATTTTCCTAAAGTCCCTAGATTAACCAAGTACCGCAATCAGTGTTCTTACTGTTCTTGTTTGCCTCAAAATGAGTTTGACATATGCCAATTTGTGCTATTTATATCATAATACTATTAAAACTCAATTGTTGTGATATTATAGATAAAAATATTGAGATATTGCGTAATAAATTCGGAAAAAAACATATTGATAATTCAAAGTTATACGATTATACCAGAGAATGGTAACTAATTGCGGTATTTTACCAATATCTAGGGACTTTAGGAAAACCAATAACGTCATAATATGTAATGCTAACTGTCAGCTGTGACTGTTTTGTCGTTCTGGATTGATTAAATGGATCAATGATTCCCAAAGTGGTCTATATAGACACTTAGGGGACGATTTCCAACTGCAAGGAGTCTATATCAGCGAAAACAAAAATTGGGGGTGCATGAGATGTAATTGGAGGTCTACGAGAATCCACGACCGAAATTTTGGCTTTCCATAAATGGAATAATTCACATAACAAAGATAGTACGTATGTACTTCATAATACTTTCTTGTAATGGTCATAAAAATTACATATGAAGCAAATAAATTTAATTATTATTGTTATCGACTATCCCGAAAAAGTTTTTGATATCTTCATACCTCGTGGAAAGGGGTTACTAATCTTTTTACAAAAAAAGAAAAACAGATTACAAATCACCGATGTAGGAGATTTAATGTTAACTAAATTGAATCCAAATGTTAAAAATGTATCATTAAAGCATCAATATCATCCTTCTCAGTAAAAGCATTTATTTTTTGTGTTGCTATTTTATATTATAATTTTACTAGATTTGCATTTTGTCTCGGTTTAGTTAATAAATGTATAAAACTTAACATGTTTTTTTTAAACACTATCAAAGTGAGTAGCACTGTCTCAGCTGTCAAAAACACATTTGATGAATTTGTAACAATTCAATATTATAAAGGCCCAAAACAGTTTGGGGGCCTCTGAAATAGATCAAACACATTTTTCAATAAATGAATCTGACAATTTTTAAATTTTTAAAGTATTCGCCGGAATTTATAGGAATGAAAAAAAATACTGATAAATCATTTGTCGAGAGCTTCGAATCACAAGCAAATATCGTGACTTTCGAGCCTATGACATTCCATCACTAGATTAGCGGTTATTATAAGTAACGATCCATCACAAGTGAATGTGTTCTGTCACTTCGATAATACAACTTTAATAACACGCCCAATATTTTTGACCAAACGCTGTAATAGAAACAGCAGTAATAAAGGAGATTTATATCAAATTTTATCCTTGGAAAATGACAATTCAATCGTATTTTTGCAACATTTTTATTGTCTTCGCGTGTTTGTAAATGAAATATGTTTATACGAGGCCGATCAAGAATTTCTTTAAAATATATATGTGCACATTACGATTTGTTAAATCAAGGAAATTGGAAAACCGAAGTTAGTATGTAAAAGTAATTATATACTCTAGTCCTACAATTATTTTAACCTACCTGTGCATATATTGTGCATACTCTTTGTAATAAAAGCCTTTTGGTGCAGCTTCTAACCAATTTTACACCACAATTATAGCTACATAGTAAAGGGCGTGTTATAAAAATAGCACTTCAACATTTTCTGTAACAAAATTATTAAATAATTCCTGTTATTTAATAACTATCCCCCGTATATAACTTTATATAGGATTCAATAAACATGTCGCCAATTCCATGGCTGACATGATTCCGAGACATTTTTTTTAAGTTGTTATAGTTTGGTAGGGTATCATAAAAAGCGTTCAATTTACAGGGGTGAATCAAGTTTAGTGATATTAAAGAATAATACAAAAAAATGTACTAATTTTTTTCTTTTCCAAACTAACGATCAATATTACTTGAAGTTTTAGTCGAGTCTAAAGTAGACCTTCTCTTCAATCAAGTGATTTTTCACAAAAAATAACACTTAGTTAGGTATTAGTTACTTGTTGTTGAAAAAAATGTATGAAATGTAATGTTTGTACATACATAATATAACGATATACCTAATTATTTTATTAACAAATAAATGAAATATTAGCCAAATTAGATTTAACGATTCAGAAAAAAAAAACGGGGACAAATCTATCAATTCAATTGGATATTGATATTCCAGTTGCCAAGACAATGATCAAGCGCGTGCTGCTGTGAAACTATTGGTCGAAACGGGTCGAACGATAGTTTTTATTTCTTTTGTATCATTCGCAACTTAATTTTGTTTCTATTTTGTTATTTTCGATTGATATAAGATGTCTATCATCGATTCGTTGATGACGTAAATGAATAAGAAAAAATAGAGTAACAATATATTGTATTTTGTTTAGTATTTTATATTTTTTTTAATAGTAGCTGTTTTAACTTTCCTAAATGCATCCCTATCTATTTTTATGTGCACGCCGTGGTTGAGTGCAATTGTTTACTTCGTTGGAATATGTAAAATGACTGCATTATAGTTTACATAAATCAGATCAATGTAAGTCGACACAGAGATTCATAAACTAAACAAGTGCTTTAAAAAATAGTAAATACTTTTTGGAAAAATTTCAAATTATTTATAACAATCCAAATCTATCAGATTAAAAATATTTTAAAATTACGTGGCAAAATCATTCAAAAGCAATGACACTCCGTTAGTTTCATACAGTTGAAGAATTAAGGTAACTGGCAACACTGATACAACTCCGGTGTGAGTGCTATCCAGTGGTGGAACACAAGAATTTAAGTGCAGTTTAAAAAATAAATTATAACTCGACTATAAAAAATAAAACGTTATATTAAAAATATAACATTTTCAGTTTAAAAACCCATCCTCAGTTAACGTTACATCCTGTATAGCGCAGCCGTATGGTTTTACATGTTTTTTTATTTTTAAGTAAAATCTTAACATGTTTTTTAGTACCAATTGCAGTTAAAGTCCGATACACCAAACTGGAACACCATGTAAAAAAATTAGTTTTCCCATCGCACAGACAGTTATAAAAACCAGTTACGTTTCGATGACGATTTTCACAGGCCACCCCGTAGAGCTAAACAGCGATTCCGCTAACGATGGGGGAATGGGAGGAACAGGGGGACGGCGACCACCACCAGTTGTGGGTGAATCTCAGCGCCCTGGGGGAGGGGAACATCTTCGCTGTGCTGCCGGAGTTGATGAAAAACATGCTGTCGCAGGACATGGCGCTGTCCGGAAGCGCCATGGACGTGGTGCTGCCCAGTGACGACGCATGGCAGGCGAAGATCTACTACAAGCTGGTGGAGAAGCAGAGGATGATGGATTCGGCATCGGCGAATGACGAGTGAGTTGATTTTTTAGAACGCGCATGCTTTTTTATATATCTGCTTTTAGTAGATTCTATGTGGTTATTTACATACTATTTTTTTTATTTTTATTGCTCAAAAAATTGTTATCGTCTGTCTGTCTGTCTGTCTGTCTGTCTGTCTGTCTGTCTGTCTGTATGTCTGTCAGTAGGTTGTTTCTAGAGCCGTTTTAGACAAAAAGGTTCGAAATACGGAAATGAAATTTATAGTAAAATAGTGCGAAAATAGGTAGATGAAAATTGGGCTGATGATTCAATTGATTAAAGGCAAAAATTCACTGAGTCGATATATAATCAATTGTTACTAAGGTATAAGTGAGNAATATAATAATTTCAGTTTAAAAACCCATCCTCAGTTAACGTTACATCCTGTATAGCGCAGCCGTATGGTTTTACATGTTTTTTTATTTTTAAGTAAAATCTTAACATGTTTTTTAGTACCAATTGCAGTTAAAGTCCGATACACCAAACTGGAACACCATGTAAAAAAATTAGTTTTCCCATCGCACAGACAGTTATAAAAACCAGTTACGTTTCGATGACGATTTTCGCAGGCCACCCCGTAGAGCTAAACAGCGATTCCGCTAACGATGGGGGAATGGGAGGAACAGGGGGACGGCGGCCACCACCAGTTGTGGGTGAATCTCAGCGCCCTGGGGGAGGGGAACATCTTCGCCGTGCTGCCGGAGTTGATGAAAAACATGCTGTCGCAGGACATGGCGCTGTCCGGAAGCGCCATGGACGTGGTGCTGCCCAGTGACGACGCATGGCAGGCGAAGATCTACTACAAGCTGGTGGAGAAGCAGAGGATGATGGATTCGGCATCGGCGAATGACGAGTGAGTTGATTTTTTAGAACGCGCATGCTTTTTTATATATCTGCTTTTAGTAGATTCTATGTGGTTATTTACATACTATTTTTTTTATTTTTATTGCTCAAAAAATTGTTATCGTCTGTCTGTCTGTCTGTCTGTAGGTTGTTTCTAAAGCCGTTTTAGACAAAAAGGTTCGAAATACAGAAATGAAATTTATAGTAAAATAGTGCGAAAATAGGTGGATGAAAATTGGGCTGATGATTCAATTGATTAAAGGCAAAAATTCACTGAATCATTATACAATCAATTGTTACTAAGGTATAAGTGAGATATAACCTACAAAGAGTATTCATTCATATCTAAAATGTCATTGTTACTGGATGACTTCTAGTATAAATCATTGCACTTACTAACAGCTAGTCACTTACTAATCTTTACATACCATGAGAACATGACTAATGTCGCAATAAGCGAAATAAACTTTTTAATTAACAATATTTCAGAAAACTACTCTGCGGATTGCATGCCCAGTCCATCACTGAGTGGCAATGACATTTCAGATATGATGCGTATTATTTCTAAGGAAAAGGGTATTATTAATTTTATTCGAAAAATAACTCTAAGAGCTACATTATTCTTATTTAAAACAAGCTTACCACACAGTTAAATAAATTTAAAATATCTTTATTTTATAGAATTTTTTTTTCGAAAAACAGTGGAATATAACGTAACCATCAAAAGGATCATTGGCGTAGAAATTTCAAATTTTTTAGAGCAATACATATTTCCAATTCCCGAGAGAAATAAAAATGTGTACGGCACAGGTTTTTTCGGACGTTTTGACAGTTACACTATATTTAAAATTGTACATCGATTGAAAAACACCTGTACACTTTTTTCAGCGAAATAAATAATTACTTTATATTTACTCAACTGTATGACTGTTGCACGAACCATTTGGAATATATCAAAATAGACAAATTATTTTCAAAAGTGGCATTCTTTCTTAATCTCAAATTACCATTAGGAAAATTACACAAATTATCTTGAGCATCCTGTATACTATCGCAACGAAAATTTGGTTAGTAGGTTTTTCTAGTGTCTTGATCAAGAATCCTTCGGAATTTTTTGGATAAAAAAATCCCTAATGATTTTCTGGTTTTTTAGCTATATAATAGCTATATATCGTAGTCGGCCACGGTTTCGAATTTTAGAGAACACGAGGAATGTACGAGATAGATTTTTTGAAGATGTATCCAACAAAAAAAAAGTTTATTCAAATCGGTCGAACGGTATACGAGTTCTTGTTCCACTTTTAAGCGAGACATCCTGTATATACATATATATTTTTTAAGTTTAACACTATTTCGAAACCCATTGATTTTAGACGATTGGTTTGTTAACGCTTTTTGGCGTAAAATGATCGAAGGAACAACTTCCTGAAGTAATGACATGAAATTAGAAAACACCTTGTATAAAAACAGCTTCAGATATTTAATATCAAGGAATGAAAAGATACGTGATTTTATATAAGGGGCATTCGATGCCAAATCTCCAAGGGCGTGACCGGACCGTTTTAAATTTTCTTAATTTTTTGGTATTAATTAGTCCCCCCCTGCCCCCTAGCTACGCCCATGACTAAATATATCATAAACTTTTTTTCATTTTGTCATTTTGATGCAGTTTTACAAAAAATATATATAAAAATATATTTTTAGTATTTTGAGTTTTTTCATTTTTAAACCAAAAAGTGCTTCTTGAACAACTACAGGAGTCAAATCCTTTGAAGTGGCGCTTGAATATTTAGTGGAATAATACAGAATATAAAATCAGTCAAGTGTTCTAGAAAATGATTTTTTTAATTTCGTTGTTAACTTATAATACTACAAAAATATAACAAGTATTATGGCATTATGCAAAACAAACTTTTTGATATTGAAAAAAATGTTTAGAATATTTAGTTAATAATAATTTAGATAATTAGCAGAAGTAGTTTTAAAGATATGGTATTTTGAGTTATCGCGATTTAATAAAATTTTGTTAAATAATATCTGCAAAAAATAAAAGTACAAAAATGAATATTGAAAGATGATATTTTGAGAATTTCTCGAAAAGAATTGCCCTTTTTCAAAAAGCACATTTTTGTTTTAAAAATCAAAAAAACATCAAAAAAGTAAAAATTTATTATTGTATTTTTTATATAAAACTACATCTCAAAATGAAAGAAAAAAGTTTATGATATCTTTTTTTAACCAAAATATTTATATGCTCATGACTTCTTGAGGAGTTGAAATAAATATCTGAAAAAATTAACGACAGCTACTTTAAATGGGCACTAAAAAATACCCAAAAAATCAGGAAAATTAAAAATGGTCCGGTCACGACGTCAGTGATTTGGCATACCATTATAAGTGAAAACATTTTAAGCTTAAGATATCTGACAACATTTCTGTAATGATACGGAAATAAATTTTGATTTATACCGAATCATTGTGCATGTTTACTGGGTTCGTATGTAGAACAGACGGTTTATAGACTATGTTTACAATAATTATTAAAATTAAAACTCTTTTTCATTAACGTCTGACGTTTCTGCAACATAAAACGATGATTTTAATGCTCTAACAAAAACCTATGCATTTATCGTGGTTACACACCTAAAACAATCAATCTTGTTCAGGACCGTAACAGACAATTGTTGGATACTGAAAAAGACAATTATATTTTGAATATCAAAACCACTTTCAAAAACACCCTGTAGATGAAATAAATGAGTTTGATCAAGTGATTTAACCGCGACAGTGAAACAATATTACATCCGAATACCTCGCTCTGGTTTAACATAAAAATTTGTTATCTACATATCCCGAAATAAAATATTGAATGATGAGCCACTAACATGGCATATTTCGCGAATACATTTATCACGAACGACCCAGTTCCGATTTCCATTTCTTACCAAGGCAACTCAATCAATTGGTACTTTCGCAAATCAATCCATGTATTGAAGGGTCTATTAAGAATTCATCAAAAGTGAGACAAATAAGGCCATGCAATTAATCCAATACCAATATCGAATATATGAAAGTTTATAGTGATTCTGATCATAAAGAATATACAGTGTTTCCGATAACAGAACTTTCTTGACTCTTGCTTGGAATTTTATTGAGTATTTTCTATTTGAAAAGTTGTGTTATACCAGACGAGTTTTTATATTCACCCAGACTAGTTCGATAGAGTTTAGCTCACAGTGGTATGGTGGCAATCGAAACTTTAGACATTTTATTATCGCGTCTTTGTATTCAATATATTTTCCATTCAACCATTGCATGATCTTTCCTTCTCTCCATGCGGATGTTGTCAGTTTTTCTACTTGTCGACGAGGGTAAGGCGCATTATCACTGACAATCACTACACTAGGTTCAAACTGAGGCAAAATACATGTAAACCATTTTCCAAATACCCCACTGCCCACATCCACATGGTAACCTCCCGCTCGTCGATTGACATCTCCTGTCTGCCAAACAGCGATCTAAACGTCACATCTGTCAAAATCGAATTAAATTTAAGTACAGAAATGCACCCGCATCTCCAATGTTAGCTATGTGGGGACCGCTGCCACCGCAAAATTTCGAAAACGGCGTGGCCTGCTGCCAGAACCTAGACGTGACGGAAAGACAGTCCAGCGTCCAACCCTGGTTCAAGTCCATCTTCAACACCGTCCTCAAGTACAAGAACGAATTCTTTGGCCGTCACTACAGCCCTCCCACCGAGGAGAAGCAAAGAATACAGGAGTGTTCCATCCCTGTGAACTACAAATTCATCTTCGCTTTGTGTGACGATGGTTCCTTCCGGCCGGGAGCGATCGTGGGCAAGAATAAAAAACAACAGGAGTTCGTTGTTTACTTCTACCACACCAAGAAGTGCGCCTACGTGAAGCGCAAGGACATGGTGTTGAAACACGGCAACTTACTTGACAAGAAAGTCTTCTTCTGTCACTGCGGCCAGAAGATAAAGGCAAAGGTCTTCGGAAACAACTCCCCAGCCAACAACGGATTCCCCTCCATATTCTACCTGAAGAAGAACAACATCTGGTACAAGATCTCCTTCAAGTCCATCTTCCTTTCCAAGAAGATGATCCGCAAGTGCAACTTGGAGACTCCCAGAAAGAAAAGCGAAGTCGCTTTAGGTAAAAGCAGGTCCAATGTCGCCCAGTTATTAGCGTAGCGTCTATTCTTGTCCTTGGTATCACTCTGTATGTGCTGTGACAATAAAATACGTTAACACGATCCATGAGATTTTCTTGACGTTGCGGCTGTCAGTTTGACAGTTACAAAAAACTCATTTCAATCCGTCATCCCAGTAGAAAAAATTAAAGTGGCAAATCTAGATACAGACCTCACATTGCTCGTAGAAACGTTACAGTTGTCTCTTCTCAACAGAGGTGAGTTTGTTTTCTATAAAAACTTTCAAGAAGGGTACTTCGGAACTTTTCGGAAAATTTTGCACAGCAAAAACCAAGGCCCTTAAATACTTGAAAATTTAATCACATATAGAAAGATTCTCAAACTTTCAAACTTTTTTTGAAAAATTCGAATCCGTCAATTGGGAGAGCTCTGCCGCTTGTTTAAACATTGGTCGAATTTTTGTACTTATAAACAATTAGAATAACTTTATGAATATTCAATCATATCAAATTTTTTAAAGCAGGTTTTAAAAGTTCTTGGAAAGACGCTTCTTTAAAAAAAAAAAAACAGATCGCTTGATCAATTAGTTTAGTTATAGCCGATTCAATTTCGAGCAGGCCGAAGCGGGCGCGCTCTCTGCTTCCCCCACCACCACCACCCGTACGATTTTATTGAATTTCTCGCTTGCATAAATAACTTTAAACACGTTTTAAAGTAGGTTGCCAATGAAGAAAAGTATTGTAATCTTAGACCTGGTAAGTACTCGGAATACCAAAGGTATTTTTCGAAAAATTAGCCCGGATGTCCCAGTACATTTAGTGTAAATGACGGCTATAACTACGTAACTAATTGATCAATCGATCTGTTTTTTTTTAAAGAAGCGTCTTTCCAAGAACTTTTAAAACCTGCTTTAAAAAATTTGATTTGATTGAATATTCACAAAGTTCTAATTGTTTATAAGTACAAAAATTCGACCAATGTTTAAACAAGCGCCAGAGCTCTCCTAATTGACGGATTCGAATTTTTCAAAAAAAGTTTGAAAGCCTGAGAGCCCTTCTATATGTGATTAAATTTTCAAGTATCTAAGGGCCTTGGTTTTTGCTGTGCAAAATTTTGAAAATTTGCAATTTTTTTTTCAAAATCTGGATTGCAAAATTATTATGCAAAATCTATCGAACCGATTTTGATGAAATTTGGTGTGATGATTCTACATAACATGAAGTTTTCTTGAGCCAAGTATAAAGGTCCTATACCCAATTTAAATACCCCAAAAAGATTCCCTAAAAAGTACTGTTTTCTAACCCCATTTTTTCGATTTTTACCATAATCATGATTCATTCGATTTGTAACTAGTAATGTTTTGTAAAAAATTTAATTACAAACATTTTTTTCCTCTTCCATTTTCGCCTAAAATCAACTCTTGAAAAGATACATAATTAAATAGGAAGAAAAATATGACATTTTTCGAATTTTTTTAACATATTGTATCGCCAAAAGTTAAGCCCACGTTTTTTTATGCGCACAGAAAAATTTTAATTTCTAGTGGTATTTGAAAGCCAAATAGCCAAAAATCTCCGTGGATATACGATTCACCCAAACATGGCTTTTTGAAACAGATACCGTCTGGACTAGGTATGACTCTTTTAAAGTTACACGGGAATCTAACATTACCTAACAACTGACGTTAGATTTTCTCAAACCAATTATTTTGTCATAGAAACAATGACAGTATCTTTTTTTAGTTTGAGGTATGGTCAATTTTTTAAATAACAAACCAGTTAATGGAGCAAAATTCCTTGAAGATTTTCCTTTAGTTTTTGACGCAAAATTTCTGATATGGGAGAACATCCTAATCAAAAACAAAATGTTTTTGGATATATCATTGACAATTTGGAGTAGTCCTTTATAAAGAAACATACCTTTCTGTTGTAGGACCATGTTGGACCAGCTCTTGAATGAAGAAAGGACCCCCAAGCTCCACGACTGGAACATCATTCCCAAACCAAAGACGCTACCATGCGAACCAAGAAGAATAGAAACGAAGGCAAGCGGGACAATTGAGCTGATAACCTGGACAGTTAGCGACATAGCCAAAGCTGGCTGTCTTCTTAGTTCCCCTCCTCGACCTGTCAGCTTTGAAGACGAGCAGGAGATGAGGAGAGTCTACACGTTGATTTACGACGTCTTTAGGTGTAAGTAGCAAGAAATATGATACAGTTGTGGACAGGGAAAGGTTAGGTTTCCGACCTAGGGGTTTAAAGGATGGAACTAGATCAGCTTCTTCTGATGAAGATGGTTATATGTCTCTCGAAACATCAAAAAGTCGAAATGTACTAAACAATACGGAAATTGTTTATTACTGCTACGGAAATCGGAAGTTCGATTCGTTAATTGTTATCTAAAAGTACAATAGTAGATATAGAATGATCACACTTATATTCTAATTAAAAAAAAAAGTTTTTCAAATATGTATTTCAATGCCGAGGAATAACGGAATAAAATTCATATTTTGTGAATATTTTTTTTTAAAACGCCGAAACGTTAACTGATTTTGATTTTTTCCCTTCTTTCGGTTATATAATAATTAATTTTTCTTCAACCCCTAACCCCCAGCTACCCCTACTTTTTTTTCAAATGGAAACATAAGGCATGAGAGGGCTCGTTGAAAAGCTTATAGAAAACCGAATCCAGCCATACCAAATAAACAAGTTTTATTTTTTCAATAACAAGTTTTTTTTTTCATTTAGAAATTGAAACAACTAGATAATTTACAAAAATAAACTCAATGTCGCAAATGCTGAAAATGTCCTCCATTCACTATTTGGCATTCTCCAAGACGATAGTAAAAGCTGTCCACAGCATTCTGAAT